TAGAGGAGTTACAGAACTTTTACAACAGACATCCCATTATAACACAACTGACAAGAATTGTACGACCAAAAATGCATGGATATATATTAGCAGAATTTCCAGGTTTAATCCTAAGGATGGGCTCCTGAGAATGCGAATTCCACGAGTGACTTCAAAGGCCACCCCCAGCAACTGGTGAGATAACCGATTACGTTTCCTTATTTTATGAAAAAAAAATTACCTTCTCATCCGAAATACTGAAACCTGAATGGTTATTCTAGCAGTTGCTAGGGCGACCTTTAAAGTTACTCCAATTCTAAGCACAGTTGAATTCGAATTTCGCCATTTGATTTCAAGCTGATCATCTTACTGAATGGTTACAATTTTAGTAAGCCTGAGTAGAGTTTTTTTCAGGAATATCTTCATCTGCCAACACGACAACATTGGTATTAGCATTGTTTTCATAAGTGATCAGAGAAAGTAAGGTATGAAATTCAGCTGAGAATACTATGGTCATTTATAGTATTCACTTTTAGAAGCAAGTTACTCAGAATTCATTTGACAGTATTATTTTACAATTATTTTTACAAGTTTTCTATAGACTTGTTAATTATTATTCCATGTCGTTTCCATGCGAAGTAGTGGTGGCCAAGCAACCATTAACGAAATTCTTCAGGGTGTAACCACTGTGGCTTTATTGCATATTTATTGTTTATTATGTGTTGTGGATGTGCTACTCAGCTGTAAAAAACGCATCAGCTGTAAGCCTAAGAGAAGGGAAAGAAACACTGCTAGTAAACGCATCGTGTCCAGTTCAGCGCATGACTCATAGACGTGGAAAAGCAAAGGCAAGCGCAGAGATACTTAGACAGCAAAGCGCATAAAAAGTCATAATCACATGACAGTGTTTCAGTTATTTATTTTACAGTTATCGGTATTAATCATATGATAGAAGCTTAGTAGACAATTTTCTGCGAAGAGAACGTTTTTCAATGAATTTATTCTCAAGCTGTACAATCGTATATATATATATATATATATATATATATATATATATATATATATATATATATAATATCCAAAGACTGTAAACTTCAATAATAAGAGATTGAAATGACAATAATGGTGGTTATAATTATAATAATGTTAGTAGGTGATGACGTAAAGGTTGAATGATAAAAAAAGAGGGTTAAGTAAGATTTTTAAAAACTGTTTATCGTTTTGATGAATCGGGAGGAATACGTGGACAAAATGCTGTCGCTTTCCTCCAACCAGACTAGATCTGGCAAATGTGAAGGTGAGAGCACTAAAACACAACAGACAACTCGTGGGTATCTTAAAGAAGATGAAGGATAGTGCATTAATTTCCTCTGACTTTTATGAACCCATCTGACCCGTTGGTTCAGTAATTCCACGTCTTTATGGATTGCCGAAAATACATAAATTAGGTTCACCCTTTGTTCGATTTTGTATATGTCAAATCCTCCTTATTATTGTATCGCCCAATAGTTAGCTGAAATACTAGAGCCAATCAGAAGACCACTGTCCCGATATTCTATTTGTGATACACTTCAGTTTATTGGTGTTGACATGTTTTCCCTAGATGTCACCTCATTGTTCATCATTGTACCACTAGCTGAAACTGTTTGTTACATATGTGATTTCATTGATTCACATAATACAGAAGTAGGAATTCCAACAAACTACTTGAGATAGCTCTTGATGAATTGTATTTTTAGTGTGCAATTTGTTTTCAATGATGAAATATGCTAGCAAAATGATGGGACTGCAGAGCGATCCCCACTGGGACCTCTCTAATGGCAGGTCACTTCATGTCAAAATTCGAAAACTCTAATCTTAGCTTAACTATTAATCATTTTGACACCCATAGAAAAAACATGGATGATATATCCATTATTTGTGACTCAGATATTGATATGCATGACATCCTACACGAGTTCAAGAATTTTCACTTAGGCGTTGGAATTCATTGTAGAGATGAAATTGGAATCAGCTATTTCTTCCTTTGACACGCTAATTACGAGATATAACAATGAAATACTAAAAAGACCCATCTAAAGAAAATGAATGAACAGCTTACTAGTTTCTACATTTGAGTGGCGACTATGAGTAAAAGAAACCTCATTCACTAACTCTGATATTGAACATGAAATATTTGTGGCACAGACTGTAAGCAAGAAAAACTTGACGCTTGCCAAAAATGGTTATCCTAGCCGACTTGTTGACAAAAATATGCAAGAAAGACATGCGAACCCAGTCATCAGTTCAGTTTCGAAGATGATTTTCCTCATGGATCTGAAAGTTAAAGATGATGCAGCTTAAGGCATCCTGAAAAATCGTCTTTCTAGATGAATTAATAGAAGCTTTTACCCAGCCAAAGTTCATTTGACCTTTACTAGTCGCAAATTGTTCTTCATATGTCTCAAAAACAGTATCCTTCGACAGACCACTTGCATATGTATCCTGACTTTTGTCTTGTCTTTAATAGATAAGTAAATGCCTGATGAGTAGGTTATAAATATGTCCCGTCTTTTGATATTCATTTACTTCGGATTTCGCGACAATCACGTCAAAAACATGATGAAATAATAACTATCAGAAACATTAGTGAATTTATAACTTAACACTTCATTACTTCTTGTTCTCATACGCCTCAATTCCAGACTGTGAAAATTCTATGTTACACTATGACACACATACACACGTATACTGAGCTGTAGTCCGTTCCGTCCTTTTGTATGGCTCCGAGACATGGTCGTTAAAAGTAGAAGACATCAAGCGGTTGCAGGGTTTTGATAATTAGTATCTTCATAGCATTTCTAGCGTTTCATAGAATCACCGTGTCAGCAATGTTGAGGTCAGGAGAAGGATACTAGGCAAAATATGCAAGCTCATTGATAAGGTTGTGAACATTAGTCGACTGAGAGGGCTTGGACATGTGTTGCGCATGCCCAGACACCGCCTACCTTGAAGTGCTATGGAAGGGGAAGCTAGATTAGGTTAACAGGGGTTCAGGGTAGCCAGATCAAAACGTGGCATCAGTCCATGAAGTCTCTTACTGTTGGTCTGAGCCATATGGGATGTCGACTGTGTGGTTCGCACCCCTAAAATGGAGGGAATCAGTGGTTGAGGATTATTTGTGACATGGCTGAAAATCGGTCACAGTGGCATAGATGTATTTACCTCTTGACATCTAAAGCATGTATATTTCCACTAACTATTACTTTCAGATTGTTTATCCTCTCAAACTACTTTATCTACTTTTATATCACGCTTTTTCTACCCATCTGTTTTTTGTATACTACTGTGAAGTGTGGCAACTTGAGCCGACGCACGTGTGTGTGAAGTTCCACGTTGATTTTGTCAGTTGCATACACCCATATCATATCCTTTTATAGTTGACTTCACTGACAATTTTTAATGCATACAAGATAGTTCTAAACATTATGATAAACGAAACCAAAGAAAAAATATTTAGCTTGGCTGATCAAAGTATTTCGCTGAGATCGATCAATTATAAACGGTGTGATAAAAAGTAGTCCTTGGAGTTTTTTTCAACATCACTTATACAATATAACTAATTATAATAAAAGAAATACATTTTTGCATACTTTGTGTTGGCATACTTTTTGTTTCTGGTGTGTATTAAATCACTTGGATAGTATTTATGTCTAGCATTTCAGTAAGCGTGAGCATTGACGTTACACAAGCGAAATCTCATCGTTTTCAAAAATATAATGCATTGAACATCGAGCTACATTGGTGGGTAAGTGTAATGATCAGATGTTACGGCATAACACTTCTGTTAGGTGTTTAGGATGTTATATTCTCAAGAATGAAAGTTTACTGCTTCTTTTTGCGAAAATTGTTCAGCAAAAGTTTGAATTTATCTTTTTTGTGCCTTTTTTCCACCTTTCATGTAGCGTTTATTTTTACCATTCTCAATGGTGGAACTGTGGCTCATCAGTTAAGATGACGTTCAACTACTAATGAGTCACAATTTCAAGCCCTACTCCACTTGCGGAGGTTTGGGCAGTCAGGTATTATCACATTATTCCTTACACAATAGGTGTGGCCCATCGTCTACAGCACGAATGTGTACGAGGTAGCTGAGTTCATTTCAACCACTCTTAGTGAGGGTAATTTCTTATTGGTTATTCTCTTCTTTTGGGTTGGTTAATTTATTTATCTTTCTCAAGGGCATTTCTGTTGTACATAAAACAAAGAACTGAACCCGTATCCTATGTTCTCTCTTTGACTGAAGTAAACCATTTTCAATCCATAGCTGTTTTCTTCTTGTGTTAGCTGAGCGGGTTGTGATGAAACCATATTCCTTTCATCAATGTAACCAGATTAGACGTCCAGAATCTAGTATAATTGCAAATCTTAAAATCAGGGACCGACTGAATACCTAATCAATGCAGAAGACTGAATTTCACTGTGTTTATATCATACTATAGAAAGCATACTGTCTAGTTCAGTAAGCTGACTTACAAGTACAAAGATGGTAGTTGAATATTAAAAAAATGTTGGGGTTTATGGCAGCGGTCTTCAAGCTGCTGATCCAGCAGTTCACCAACTAGGTTACGTGACCGAACCGCTAATAAGATCTCTGCTGTTCTTTTGCATGGACGAAATTAAAACTCTTTTCTCCAACAAAATTATATACTTTAAATATAGTTCATACACATCAAGTTCAATTACCAATCAATCCTGTACGTATCAAGTTAATGAAGAAGATGAGAGTTGTAACCTACATTCCAAATACTTTCAATCACGGAACTACTACTCAACGATAATTAGATTCCTTTTGAGAATATTAAAGATGTAATCCGAGGGAAGAAGTAAAATATAATTAAATAACCCAAATGAAAATAGTTCTTCACTAACACTTCATAACAGAAGGAGAAAGATATGCACTCTAGCATACAGTTACCGTATTACGATGAGAGGAGAGGGGGAGGGAGGTGAGGAATGCAACACTTTCTTTACTAACTTACCAGTCCTCGTGAAATCTGTTTTTAAAGCACGTGTCCCTGTATACTGAAGTGAACAATAGTCTGCATTATCAGCCCAAATCGATTTAAAACGAAATCCAAATCCCGGCCACAAATGAGACAGTGGTGAGGTAGTACTTGCATCAGCTGTTTGCGAAACTGAACCTTGCAAGAGACCAAGGTTGATGACAGCCTCCTCTAATGCACACCAACCCAGCATAGATTGAATTACATTTGTCCTATCTAAACAATCAATACAATTTGAACGAAATGTCCCAGTTTGACGACTGACAATTGTTGCAGAATTATTCATATCCAAATGAAATTGCCTGAATAGAAATAAGTGAACAATAATTTATAGGCAAATATTTTCCACTATAATTAATGTAGACTTTAGTAAAGATTTACTCAACTTCAGATCAATATCCCTGACAAAAGTCCCGTATAGAATACCAACCACTTTGTGGAGTCAACCTATTCGTTATGCCAACAATAACAAGAGGCCTTCACCAAATATATATATATATATATATATATGACTTTCCTCTATGCAGGCAGTTTTAGAATAGCTTGTATTTTCGGTCTAATGGAGTACAACAATTCATATTCAAAATTAAAACCGTCTCTTAGGTCAAATTACTTGGTGGATTCCCTATAAAAAGCTATGAACACAAGCATAAGACGATGACAAACAACACGGAGTTTAAACTACGTCAGTATCAATACATTTCATGTTTCAGTGGTATTGGTAGGTAGGTGGGCATTCACTTATCTTCATCCTTCGCCTCACTACCTTTTTACTTGATGTGCTGATATGAGGTGTGGCAACTCGGACCGTTACGCAGTAATGCCTGGTCCTATGTTGATAATGATGATGATGATTGGTAGGTAGTGTTATGACTCTTTTTTCATTGACCTCGAAAAGTAGAGTATGTATCTCCGTCCATGCCTAATCTAACATGATCTTGTACGTGTACGGGTGTAATCATGGAACTCAGTAACTATATGCACATTTATTTAATACTCTACGAGTTGCTGTATCCTTTTTGTGAAAGTTGATTATACTAGTTGACCGTCCAAAAACGAAGAGGTCGAATCAAGTTTTCACCTGCGACCCATAGATGAACGTCATGTACCTAAACCAATATATGCACAGATAACTACTGAAGTGATACGATATGTTAAACATGAATTCACTAAGTTGTTATCGCACGTTTTACGAGTCGATTCAGAGTTGTTATTGTATGGCAAGAGCAATTCTCTCCTAAAATGGAAAGGTTGATATTAATAGCAAAACTGCGATACTATGATACTGACTTGCAGTTGTGTTATTAACCTCCGTTCATCTGAATGATACAGTAGTCCAATGATGAAACGGAAAATCAGCGAAAGCGTGTAATGAGCTCTGAAAACTTCGATTGATTGTGAGGATGGCTCATTGCTGTAATTACCCATTTTCGTGGAAATAGACCCATGGCTCAATCTCCACCCTACCTACTTTGGATAAGGTGACCTGATAGTACCATAAACCCTCACAAACCCAGTGTAACTCGTAACCTAGTACGAACGAACGAATGAAACTAACTCAGCAACCTTGTGTATATTCGTGTGGTAGGCAATGTGCCATACCTGTTGTGTGAGAGGTGCCCAAACTCCGGTAGATGGGGCGGACTTCGAACCCGTGACCCACTTGGTTGATATTCATTTCCTCAAACCACTGAGCCACAATTCCACTCATAGTCTAGTACATACACCTATACCACATTGCTGATTCAGATTGCTGGTATGCGCGGGGGAGCAAACGAAGAAATCGACTTATAACCCAACAGTTTAGTAAAAGAAATGGTGAAACGTAAAACACAGGCAAACAATTCGACTGTAAGAACACAGATACACAAACTCACCCTGATCTTAACAATTCCGGTATAAGTCTTTCCAATAACATACCAAGACGATCCCAACGAGTTGAACCACATTCTCGATGGAAATCAAAACTTTCATATCTTATAAAACAAGGAAAACAGCAGAAGTACAGGGATTACGATTATAAAATACTAAACTATTGTAACCGAAATTTTTCAGTAGCCTCCCATAACTCTTGAGTAACTGTGGACACTACTTTAGCAAACACTAAGATAACCAATTAAGGTTCTTTATTTCGGCTGGGAAGGCAAAATTTTAAAATATACAAGTCTTATTGGTTATTTTAGTTGTTATTGGGATGGTTTGTATAGCCGTTTATAGTCTTCCTACCCTACATAAAATAACGCTAGGTGAAATCGCAAACGGGGGAGGGGCCAACAGTAGGAGGAGGATAAGAATAATGAACTGGGAGAAAACTGAGGTAAATATAAGTCAGAAAAAGTATCGAAAGTGCGGGCGGAAACTAAGTAACTACTGAAACACAAGTGAATGCATCCGTATCCATTGTATCTTTAACCAGAAAGGATGATAGCAACAACGAATATCCGTGAATAATCACCCTATGCTTTTAAAGACTTATACATCTACACATTTTGACAGATACATTACTGCGCACTGGGTGCGCTAGCGGCCTACCTTGGTCTTCTATCTCAGCCGACTGATGCTACATTAGTGGCAGTAGGATCAAGTCAAACATAGCAACTAAGCATAGCAATAATTGGTAGGACCACGGTTCAGCATTTACCTCGACTTGTTAACCGTAGGGCCAACTAAGAAACTGAAAACGAGGTTTAGACCAGAACAACAGGATATAACAGAACGATAGTACTTAGACAATGTAATCATCGATTCCCACTAACTTGTGTGCTTTCACCAAGGAGATTTGATGTCACCTATGCAGCTTAGACTAATAGTCAAGCATTGACACAGGAATACCGTTCTTGAAAGTGTTCATTAATTGACCTCCTCCATTTTACTTTTATCTATTAGGGAAGCATGAGGGCTGAGATAAATGACAGTTAAAAATATGTGCGACTACTAAATGAACCTATATATATTTATTATTGGATTACCCACCAAATTATAGTCACTATTCATTTGGACACTACTCTGTCTAGTGACATTGGTCATAGTTGTAACTACGGTGACTGTGTAGTTTTTGACTTGATCTTCGTAATTTGCTTTATTCTTGCTTAAGGTACTGCAGGCTACTTGGATGATACTTCGTCGACTCAAAGGAAGCCGAAATTTTGCGCACAACTATATCCAGTGTAACTCATAATCGAAACAAGTGGTGATCATACTGCGAGTTACCTTACCTTTTATTCTTAAACAATGGTGCAGAAAAGTATCTTATGGGCACATCAATATAGAACCTAGCACAGAAGTGCATCGGATCAGGTTGTCATACTTCACGGTAGCATGTAAATAAAACGTGGATAGAAAAAAAGTGACATAAAAGTAGGCAAAAGTATGTGAAAGAGGATTAATAGATGAAGGCGAATAAAGACAATCAAGAATTCGAAGATGACAAAAACTGTACACAATTACACCACTGTGACCGATTTTGAGCCATATCACCAAGATTCTCTATCCACTGATTCTTATCGTTTTGAAGAAACCCAACCATCCAGCCCACAACTCCCAACGCAACCCAGACCAACAGACAGATCAACAAAGAGCCTCGCCCACAAGTGATTCAGTTCAAGTTGCCACACTTCACAATAGCATACAAACAACAGGTGGGTGGAAAAGGAGTGATATCTAAGTAGACAAAGTAGTGTGAGAGAATACAAAACTTAAAGATAACCGTCAGCGCAGATCCTCAAGCATTAGAAGATATCAAGAAGTGGATATATTGGCATCAAAAGTTTCCAACCATATCTGGGACCCCGGAAAAGCAGTCTACATCTCCTGACATGGCTCAGACCAACAGTCAGAGGCTTCATGCACTGGTGCCACGTCTTGGTCTGGCCACTCAACTGTCTTCCAACCGAACCCAGTTTCCCTAGCATCTCACGTAGAGGTAGGTGGTGGTTCAGCATGCACTACTTCATAGTGTTGTAATTTACACTACAACCGTAACTACTTTTCATATTACCACCATCCAACAGACTTCTCTGGTATGGTAGGACCTAGAGGGAACAAGCGTTCCACAAGTATAGCTCGTTGGATTATTGTGATATGTAAGCCCGACTACCACATCAAGGTAGAAGCTATCAGTAGGGATATATATAGTTGGATGTGGAAGAATACCAAACGGACTTTTAGAATTTTAGCTGAGATTTCGCTAGCAACCAACCCATTCAGGCTGATGTAACTCAAAGTACGCGACGTAAATGCACTGTATTATTTCGTTCCCTATCCTAAAACCAAGAATCGGTGAAGGCCAGTCCTGAAGCCATATTTTTCACTAGAGAGGTGTGGGACGCATACTCAGATTTTCGCTCAAAGAGTTCAGATGACTTTGCTTTGCGTCACTCTTTTCACCTAACAGAACTATGTTACTTGCATACTCCAAGCTAACAAGGCGCCTATTCGAAAATAAGTTAATCCCTGAATGTCTGGAAGTACTTAGAAATATGCCCATTAGAGCGTCTATAACAAAAGTAAATGGAAATGATGAAATAGACATCCTTGAGGTATAACACTAGTTGTGTTTACTTTAGATGACTACCTTATGTAAACCTTTACACGATTGCATGAGTTTGAGTAGAGAGCCTTGACAGTATAAGTTTTGCTTGATATCCTCTTCACAGTCACGAGCAGCATCTCTCAGTCAATGGAATCAAATGCTGCCTTTAAGTTAAGGAATGTTGACAGTCTAGAGGGCTGATAACTTCATCTGTGTTCCAAAACCTGTCGCAGGGTGAAGATTTTATCTATACACGCTCGCTGAAGTTCGAAGTGTAACTTAATTTCTGCGAATTTGTTTACGAGCTTCAGATAACTATGGACTCTAGAATTGTATATATGTTAGTCAAACTGATGCTTCTGTGGCTGTTACAAGAAGACTTCTCTCGTTTCTTATTAACTGTAATAATAATCAGCTACAATACAATTACATGCAGTGTCATTCTTAACATCTATGGGTGCTTAGTCTGTGTTAAAATAAATGTATAATAAACATAAGAGACAAAAAGATAGTTTCAAGCAATGCTATAAAGTTTTCAGTCCTTTGTGTTATTTTAATTGGAGACTTTTACTGCTCAAGTGTACTAAGTCAAGACATTTATCAGTGTGATTACCCAGTGTTCGGTCAACTTGATTCCTTGTTCACATGACTAGTTTTTAATTCCGCAATACAGGTAAAATGTTTCGTTCACAACAGAGAATTGAAAAAAAATACAAGATTCTAGGGTATCGTTTACAACTATACCATGAAAAACATTACAGCAGTAAAATGTTAAGGTGCAATCTTCCACCATCTACAGAAAACGTATTGGTAAGGACAGTGTCATAAAACATTAGTTTCTTTTTGGTGACTACGTTCGCCAATGGTTGATTGATGAATTCTTTCAGATTTATATGTTATCTTATAATAAGAAGACAACGTAGTTTTCATCACGTGTTTAGCATCATTCAATTCTCAAATGATGATAATAATAAAAAACTGCTTTTTTTAGTACCTCCCTTCATAAATAGTGACTCATTAACTAAAGAATAAGTGGTTCACTTGAGAGAAATAATTTCAAGTGAATTACAACTCTGTGGCTAAACAAAGACCAACTGTTCGTTGTAAACTTACGAGTGGGTAGGAGATCGAAGGTATGGAGTACCGACAAGTTCCAAAAATAAGAGAGCGTCGAAAAAGTTTGCCTTTTTGGATAAGAACAATTTTTAAAATGTATGGAAGTTAATTCCCAAGGAAGAATAAAACCACAAATACTCACTTACTTGACTTCCTTTTCATTCAAAGGCAAAGTGGCTAGAGCATAAGCATGTCCCAAAGGATATTCCATACCCTTCTGATTTAACAGATTGATTATTGTTTGTCGCCCATAGGCATAATCATATGTTAGACTGTGAAAGTGCTGTCGTGCAATATCAGCTTGGATGGTCGCTAAATTCTCTTCATTTACCTTGCCAATCTCATTGCCAAGCACATTATTAGAGTGTGCAATATGCGAAGATAGTTGGCTACCACCAAGCAGAACAGCTGGTTTATATCTTAAATTTGGCTTTTGGCTCCAATATATTGGTACAGAACCACGAAGCTTAATTAAGATTTTTGAGATGAAAAAGGTAAATATAAACTTATGAGGACATAAAAAGGTAAAACGTAACTCGGTTTACTTGTAAATATCTCGTTTACATTGATTTGCCACTAAACAGAAGTTATTTTTATGTTGTCTAGTGCTAATCAAATGTCATCAGCCATTTTGAAAGGTGATCACAAAGCCAGGAGATTCGCCATTATGGTGCATTTTGATTGATACTACGTGCTTGGAAGCAATCAACAGGAAGCCCTAGACACTTGTTGACACTCATTAGCAACGGATATCTACATATCCATAGCTTAGTCTGACATTTTATGAGCCCCGCCTATTATGTGAAGACCTACCATACTACCCGGTTGCGTGAGTCGAAGAGAGTAGGGATATCCAGTACTGTTGTAAGAGATATTACCGCTGACCACAGCAATGAGTGATTTAGGTTCGAATCTCTATCAGAATATCAGTTCCCTCGAGGTTGTAGACACACCGTGGTCATGAGTGCCAACAGGCTAAAAACCCAACTTTAGGGCTTCCTTTCTAGTGAATTTAACCACCAGCAATAATGTTTTGTATACCACATGACAAACCATAACTAATCTATGACAAATTATGACACTATTCGATTGCTCACACCGAAAGAGACAGAGTGAATTTTCAATCAACGATTCATTCCTGAAACCTAAATATCTAGCCCAATGAGCCACGCCACTTGCAAACATAGTGAACAGGTCACTAAAATTACAGAAGTGGTAGAATCAGAATATTCACATAATGTATACACGATACATACTATATTAGATAAATGATTCTTCTGGCTATAAAACAGTTAAACTAACGGTAAAAGAAGGAATAAAGATAAGGTTTTTTAACTTCCGATTACTAAGTCAGTACTGGCTGAATACTACCCGTTACAACTTATAGTGAGTACAACTTTAGCGAATTTTAAGATACTAGACTATCTTCTTTGCAGTAAATATTCAGAACGTCTGTTATGATGACAACAGGAAATGATTATCTGAAGTGAACATATGACTCTCAATGGTTAAGCTTTCGTACAAGAGTTCAAAGCCAATTCATTTGCTTCCATCCGGTTAGCTGTACATTACAGTTCTCTCACAGCAATACGTGTGCCCACACAAAGTCTAGTGCATAAATCCTTTTGGCTATTAAGACATACTTCAGTCTGCGTTTTGTCAGTCATTAAAATCTCTGGTCTACGTAATTCGATGTAAGCAAATTGCCTGGACTTAGTACTGCAACTAAATATCAAGTAAAGCAACATTCAAAGTTAGCTACTAAGCCTAGAGAAAGTATAGATCGGCATTAACTAGACCTAAAAAATATCACGTAAAGTCAAATAAAGCTGCTCTTGGTTTTGAATAACCTCTTGTTAGCAAATACTTGGTCCTTTCGTTCATTACAACTGTCAGTTATTCCATCGAACATCGAGTACAACGGTATGCTTGAGTCCCCTACGCGATAGATCATGTAGCACTTATTTAAGGACAAGGAGGTTTCGTGGTTAGAACACATAAATGAGAGGAAAGTATCAGCTGCATCTGGAAATAGTAGGAAGCCGTCCCATCTAATACAAACCATTAGTAGCACGAATCCTTGTGAAAGTGAGATGGTTTGTGGAGCACACGGCTCATCAATCAAAAACCTACGTGAAAGCCTCGAACGCTAGGAAGACCACTTCAAAAAGCAACTTTCTGGCTTCTATTGAAGGAACCGAAACCCCAGTATCTTATGTTCTGCGGTCGGCTAATACTGGCCATCTAACGAAGCGCACGCCCAGAAATAACCCACGATTTTCTTGAAAATTGATATAAGACTGACGTCAGTGAGCTGACTAAAGTGTTTGAGACGTAAGGGGAAACTGAGAAATTTCCAAGACTACCATCGTTCTAATCTTCAAAGACGATGTATATTATCCATGGCAATCGTCAGGATGTCAGTCTACTACCAGCAGTGTGTAATTTATTGGTTATCATAAAGCGGGTTCTTCAAAATGCATGAAAATCTGGTCTGAGGCAGCATGGATTTCGTCCAGGTCGTCAAAGGACTAATCACGCGTTTAGTCACCACCAGGGTCATGTCCATTAGTACGTCTATGAAGAAGTTAAATCGGAACGGTGACAGTGGGCATCTGTGGCGGACACCCCCAACTGTCGTAAATTGACATGACAACTCTCCATAAGCCTTTACACGGCCGCGTGAGGTCGAGTAGGAAGCGTTGATGAGCATTATATACTTGCTTGGTACTCCCCTTACAGTCAGACACTGCAACAACATCTCACGGTCGACTGAATCGAATGCCGTCTTCAGGTAAAGAAATATTGCAAGTGTCGGCCACTGGCTGGTATGCATACCCATGTTCTAGAACCTGTCAAAGGGTAAAAATATGAATAATGTATCCTCGATCAGGTCTGATGCACTCTCAACAGGTCCGGTGAGAGTGAGAGCATACAACTCAGTGGCTCAGGACGTTATGAAACATGGTTCACAATCAAACGAGTGACAACCACGCTATAGTCTTTTTGTTTCTCTTAAGTTACTGGGAAGGAAAATGAAACTAGTAACGCTTCTTTAAATGTGTCCTTGAGAGTGATTCTATGCATAAACGCAAGCACTGCAATAGCTGAGCTTCTCTTTAGATTATTGATCTTAGTGAAGTCTATCATTAGGCACTTGGCTAAATTCCTATGAAATGAATGGTCAAAGCACAACCATACAACGGCATGGGACAAAGCAACTGTACTTAAGCCCAATGTAGTTAAGTGGAGAGAGGTTGATTACCGAATCTTTGTTCATCAAATCCACACCCGACACATGTAGTAGGAATGATGCAACACCTATACCAGAGATGTAGAAAATTCTACTACTACTAAGAACAAAAAAACAAGGTCAAAGAACTATAAACTTAGATGTCAAAAGTTGTGATTACTTTGACGTGATTATCAGCAATAACTTATGCTTGAAACGTCAAGTAACACCATGTCACTGTGAGCTATATCAAATAAACACGTCAAATGAGACTGCTTTTTTGATATTCTACTTGTCGCTTCTGTCTTCTCTCCTCATATATCACCTTTAAGTATTCTCGATGTTATATTATTTTATGTGGAGCATTTTCTGGTGCTTATATAGTACCAAGTTTGTGTTGCAAATTAAAAATGTCCCAAATTAAGATTTCACATCAGAGATAAATCTAGTGGTAAATGCTTTGCCTTCGATTCGATGTGCAGTTTTATTACTCATAAGTTGTAAAATGGATACATTTCACACCAACTGAAATAACGTTTGCTTGAATTACGAGATAGTAATATGTCAAATTAACAGTCGTGAACTATTTTTTAGGCCTTTATACTTGTTACGTCATATCGATTTTAACGCCCGGGCAGAAAAATGACTATTTGATAGGTTTCGCATACCTGATTAGATTGCTTTTATACTTCAACAGCCCATATCAGAACCATGATTGCTGCTACTTAATGTAGCTTTTCCATTACTCGTATCAAACACATCTATGTTTCAATGAGTCATCCCAGACTTCCTAAAGCTGAATCACTGCTCTATCTAAGCTAAGTCTAGGAGGTATTTATTATGAATAGTTTCGTGAACAATTTCCCTTTAGTTTACCTTCACATAATCATATGTGACGATTTGTAATGAAAATGCATTTTATGAATAGATTTTGACAACCACCACTATCCAAAAGAAAAACTAAGTTGTAGAATATAACTACCAGTCATCGAAATTGCAGGAATGAATATTAAAATGCCAAAAGAGGAAATTTCAAATAAAACAAACCTGGACAAACGAGAATCTATGCCCTGAGATTTCAACTAGTTGTTCTGTCTCCACGGTATTTGCACAGTTGCCGGATTCATCAATTCCACGTGTGTTAAATCTCGTTCCTGTGCGGTAGACACTACGTCGTGAGATGAGTGAATACTTAGGATTTCCGTTTGGTATATTAGAAAGGTTTTCGGGATAAGCTATTATCCCAACGTATCCTTGTATGATAGGTACACAATAATCCAGTCGATTCCAACTGGTTGTCTGTTTAGGTTTGTGTGACGCTGCAGAATTCAGCAAGCTTTCCCATTCGCTTAGCAGTGACTTATTCCATGTAAAGCGCACATCTGCCTAAATGAAGAGATAGAAGTTCCAAAGAAAGAAATTAAACTGTTTACAATGATAAATGACATTGGGAGACAGTAATTTTTAGATAACTCATTTGAATTATGGATTCCTGTTCCAGGGTGTTGTCTCATTAGCCTAAACAACTGACTTCCAAATGATGGATCCAGGGTTCGAATTCCACTCCGCCTATTTTGGCCCATGCAAACAAGTACTGTAGGCTCACATGCATGACCAATAGATTAGTAAGTCGACCTACAATTATTGGCTATGCACGTAAATCAAATGGAATGAATCAAATGAAATTTATGTTTTCACTATCCTACCCATTAAAATCTAGTTTTCCTTGTTATAACAGTTTCACTAGATACTCTACTAGGCCCTAAATACTGTATCACTTGTTTGAATATGTAACAGTCCAGTTATTATAACATTCCCCGAAAATACCCGCAGCAATGCAAGTTAGGATCCCCCATTACACTTTGGCATAATAATAATAATAATAATCGGAAGTATATACTAAGACATAACACAAAAAACTTACATTATCAAAAACTAAGTAGCGGATGTAGAAATTATTTCCTATACCTGAGGTATCGTGGCAAAATCAAACTCTCAACTTGTATTATCAATGCGATTTTATAAGAAATCTGAACCACATAAAACATAGGAGAATGAAGACTTCTTTTTAGATAGTGTAATTGGAAGACGAAGTTTGTCTGAACAACGTGGTGTGTTTGCCGAATATATTTTGAACATTTTGATTACACATTTACTTTTCAGGTCAACTTATATTAAACCGAAGAGTGGGACAACTATAACAACTAAGATAATAGAGGATTGGAATTAAGAAAGATGAGAACAAGCAAGAGTGACATAGTTTATCCTAATCTTGAGAGGAAGGAAATAATAATCATCTGCCATTCTTAGATGTACTTCTGAGCCCAAGAGATGGCTCAGTAAGACTTTCAGTTTACAGAAGGCCTTCATGGCATGACATCTGAATTTATGGTTTTTGTCCGATCTAACACAAGCCAGGTCTGGTAAAAGGATCTATCGTGTATGTACATCAGACACAATGGATGAAGATATCAAACTACTGACCAAAACACTTATGGATAACGGATATCCGTTTAAGTTTATGAACCGTTGTAGAAGTCGGGTAGCACCAAACCAATTCAAATCACGGTTCCCAAGAAAATCGTCCATATCACTCTCCCATACGAGAGGAGCTGAATAGCATGATTTTGAGACGTAGACAGCTATTGGGAAAACACGATATGCAGCTAATTTGTTATTGTTGAAAAAACGAAACACACGCTGCATGACAAACCTAAACACTGCATCAATGATTGCGTCACATTCCACTGTATTTACTAATTTACAAGTGTGTGGCCATACACGCATAAGAAGTAATTGGGTTATGCAGTTAAGGATGAGAGAACATCTACCTAAGTGGCTTCAAAAACAAATGTAGTGTGAAACCTTGGTACGTGCATGTGGGAGACGACTCCCTTTATTTATAGCTAAACATATAGAAACAAGTCACAAAATTAATGTTCCAATAGCTTTCAAAATTGTATGTAGAAAAAGATTTGCGGAAGCCATACACAAGCTGGAACGACGTACAATTTTTTATTGCACTACACCTACCTTGGTAAACTTTTTCTTACCAAAATTAGGATCAACCTGTCACTCTTCTTAATTTTAATCCCCTATTGTGTTAGTTGCTGTATTTGTCCTCTCACTATTCGGTTTAATATAAATTGACTTGACAAGCGTATGATCAGACTGTTGGAAATGTATTGCGCAAATATATCACGTTATCACTTTATCGTCTAACTAAACTAAATTCACAAAAGAGACCAACAATTTCGAACTTCTTTTCATTTAAACTATCACTTTATCTGTCTACAGCTTACTCATGGAGACAGTTGAACTAGGCCTAATTAAATCCCTTGCATAGACAAATGGGACATATCGCAAAGAAATGAAGTACTACTTCTAAATGTTTTAAAACCACAACGTACACGTTCATATATACTACGTGTCCTGAATTCCGGACTAGTATCTGATAGGCGCTGCAGAGTGTGACTCAAATCATATGAGGTTGAGTAATAGAATCCTTCAGTAGATAGAATACTACCTAACATTTGACAGTACAGCGATTCGTCCTGGTTCTAAAATCGAAAAAAATGATACACATGTATCATTTTTCATGTACATGCGAATTATGGCTAGTCTACCTGAAAGTCTGTTAGATGAAGTAGTGACCGAGCAAAAGGGTAGATGGCGCTTTTAGTTATTTTCCAGATTGTGTGTCCAAATATTTCACCGACCCTTTCGCGTTCAGTAATTACCAAAATGTAAAGCCTGACTGAATGTGTTTAAAGAACCCTTACCTGAAACTAGACGAATGACACCCCATATTCCATAAATTGTGTGTGCCTTGGCAAATGTTGGAATAACTGGGTTGTCGACTACAAAAAAATATTTTATTGTACATCAACCAACATTCAATTCTGAGTTCTTGCGAAACTCGGTCGATAACTATTATATCGTTGCAGCCACATGCGCGTAAATAGTATTGATCCGTCGTCACATAACTGAAAAACAACTAAATCTAGGAGTGAAATAAGTACATACAAATTATATTCGTCATAAACCATTCTGGAACGCAAACAGTTAACGAATGCGCGTCTTTATTCCAATATCCAATATTCGGTTATTACCTTATTCGCTTTACTATCACTTTGTCTTTCCTGAAATATCTAGAGATTATAATCGGTTTTTATCACATGGGATTGTCTGAAGGCTTGATGAGACTGTGGTAAACACAGAGGGTGAATGGATGCCTAACACAAAATGGAATTGCTTTTTCTGTCCTAGAATAGCTATCATCATATTCCACTTGCTGAATTTTTATTGACCCTTGCATCAGTCCCTGTTCTAAATTTCTGATGTTTAGCCGGAGATGTCTGCCAAAGCAGCCGATGCCACTTACTAGGATAAGGAGTTCCAGTCACTGACCAGTGTATAAGAAAACCGCAAAATCACACAGTCGACTCAACCATAGTCTTAGAACTTTGCTTTAGAGTCCTCAGAGGCAATCAATCCCAGGTGTGTCAGTCTCCAGTTCATTTATAAAGCTGCGAAATGCTAATTTCAGGTTACTCCTACGAAAGGTTGATGCATAGGAAATGAATTTACTGTAATCCTAATTCCAAAATAGGCTGGGCGGACCACCTACCAGTTTGATGCTAACTCACTTAAAATTTAAAAGTAAGTAAGCGTCTTCGTGAAGCAAGAAATGGCCTCACATACGCCTTAGTCAAAGTGACGTCACTTATATGTGGGAGAAATATGGAACACATATGCATCAAAACAACTGGAGGCTTTTTCGGGACAAGAAACCACCTAAACTGTCTTACTGCATTGCGTAGCAATGTGCGAGCACCTTAAAGTCGCAGCCATTTATATCGCACTTCACTAGTTTCAGGTTTGGCCTCAGTCTCCGCCAGATCAACAGCCCGACTTGCCATGAAAATGCCAGTGTTAGTCGAAGGGCTGTTTTAGTACGTGGTGTGAGGTCTGCACGATGTGGCGCCACACTAAATGTACAAGCCCTTTTAGGATTTGTCCTGGTAGTTTCTCCACTGGTAAAACTCTTCCGATGGGCTCACTGCGTGGAGTGGCCCCTCGTTGTCTGAACTTATTCCAGGGTGTCGTGGCAATTAGATAATAAAGTACAATAAATCGAACTGTACGTCAGTCGTAATCCTCAGTCTTCTTTGACGTTCCGTTCAGTGCTCGTTGCACCTGGAATATAAATGAAAGTCTTTAATATCATGAAAACGTTTCGTAAAAATGGGAATTATTTATATATAAACATATCGAAAAATAAAAATTTACGCTTATTTTCACCTTTTTTTAAAAAGTTTCATTATATGGTAATTTAGGCCAAAAAGAGCCTAAAGGGCTTTTCGTGTGTCGCGTGACTTTACACTTTTGACAAGCTAAGCACGACTGAGCCCACTCCTTAACGTCTTTGTTCATCCCAGGCCAGCAGAAACGTTGTGCGATAAGCCTAATGGTGGCTCGTACACCTGGATGAGAGAGTTTGTGCAACGTATTGAAGACGTTGCGTCGACAACTCTTCGGAACTATTGGGCGTGGTTGACTAGCAGAGACATCGCACAAAATTGCATCCTTGTCTGATCCAACCGGACAAAGTCGCAGTTTGAGAGTTGTGGACGACAACTCATGATGCAGCTCAAGGTCTTCCTTTTGACGCCGAGCTAGTTCAACGAGATCAATACCCTCGATATAGTTTATCGAAGCTATTCGAGATAGTGCGTCGGCTGCGGAGTTGTTTGCTCCAGAAATGTGGCGGATGTCTGACGTGAACTGGGAAATGTAATCCAGCTGTCGCGACTCACGAGGGGAGTATTTGTCAGACGCCGAGCTGAGGGAAAACGTTAACGGTTTGTGGTCTGTGAAAATAATGAAATCACGACCTTCCACAGAATGTCGAAAATGGCGTACAGAACAGTACATGGCTAGGAGTTCCCTACCAAATGTACTGTATCTTGTTTCCGCGTCTTGCAGCCGCCTCGAGAAAAAGGCTAACGGTTGCCACTGGTTGTCAGTCAACTGTTGCAAAACTGCTCCAATTGCTGAATCAGATGCATCAACAGCAATACTCAAGGAGCATTGGGGTCATGATGCATAAGCATGGTTGCGTTCGAAATGGCTTCCTTGACTTTAGAGAAGCAAGTCTAGCTGCGTTGTCCAGAGACACGAACTTCGCAGTTCCTCGAAGTAGATCTGTTAGTGGTCTCATGACAGAGGCACAGTTAGGGATAAACCTTCGGTAATAACTTACCAGGCCATTGAAAGTGCGGAGATGTTTCACAGTGGTCGGCTCTGGATAGTTTGTGATAGCCGCCACTTTATCTCTCAATGGGCGTATACCTTTGTTGTCAATGGTATGCCCAAGGAAGCTGAGTGATTCAACTCCTATTTCACACTTCTGTAAGTTAACTGTGATGCCATGTTTTTTAAGTCTTTCGAATGCGAGGTCCAAATGTTTAAGGTGAGTTTCCTTATCTGGACTCGCAATTAGACAGTCATCGATGTAGACATGAACAAAATTCAAACCACGGAAGACATCATCCATAAAGCGTTGGAATGTTTGTGCTGCATTCCGAAGACCAAATGGCATGCGCAGGAATTCAAACAGGCCAAAAGGAGTAATAATGGCTGTTTTCGCGATATCTTCTGCTGCCATAGGTATCTGGTTGTACGCTTTGACCAAGTCGATTTTGGGAAAATGTTCATTCCGCATAAGGTTGCAGTCAAGTCGTAAACGTGAGGTATGGAGTTGTTTTGGCGTTAAGCCTTCGGTAATCACCGGTTGGACGCCAGTCGTTGCTATCCTTTTTGGGAACCATGTGCAATGGCGATGCCCAAGGACTGTTTGACGGTCTGATAATGCCCAGTTCGAGCATGTGGTCGAATTCATTTTTCGCCGTTTGAGCTTATCGGGGGCTAACGGCGCGCTTTGGATGCCACAGGTGGACCTGTGGTTGTGACGTGATGCATAACATTGCTGGTTATGCACGGAAGAGTGTGCTTCGGTTGCTGTAACTCTGGATATTTCTCCAAAACTGCCTGGTAGGACGCGTCGCCTGATTGTTTAGTCCTAACGATGGCTAAACTCGGACCTACATAGGTGGTGCCGCCAATAGATAACTTTGTGTTGTTATCTATCAGTCGTCGACGGCGAGCATCTACGAGTAGATCGTAATGGTTTAGCAAATCTATGCCAATGATGGGCATAGAGACGTCAGCCAGGAGGAAAATCCAGTGGATAGGTTTGCGTAAACCTAAGTTGAGGTAGGCATACCGTCTCCCGAATGTCGCGATTGCCTTGCCGTTGGCTGCTTGAAGATTGAAGGATGGGTCAGATGACGCTCCTTTGTCGTTGCTGGAAGAACGCTAACTTCTGCGCCGGTGTCGACGAGGTAGCGGACTTTCGTTTTAATATCGGTGACGTAGAGCAAACGGCTTTTTCCGCCGGCTACGGTTGCCGTGAGCACGTGCCGGCGTGACCGTTTCCCGAGTTTGTGTCCTTGTTAAAACTGCATGGTTTCCGACATTTTCTGGCCTCTTCTCCGTAAGTGTTATGAAACCAGCACCATTCAGGGTTTTCCACCCTGTTAGGTTTAGTTGTGGGGCTACCACGCGATTTGCTGCGATGCACCAAGACGCGTTTCTGTGGAGTTCTACGTGAACTAGGACTTCGAGATCGTAGCAACTACTTCACAGCTTGGTCACCTCTGAATCCTGGCTCTCTGGTTTGTTGCAGACAGAATATACGTTGGAGACGGGTCTGCTAGAAATCTCCAGTATTTTGTCTGCCGAGGCTGCCAGATCATCGAGTGGGACTGACTGGAGTGTCACCAACACGGTTTGCACCGGTTGTGGTAGTTTCGAGAGAAATAGTTCTCGGAAGAGGCCATCGTCGAATGTTCGTGCGCCGATTACTTCTCGCATGCGTGCGAGGACTTCAGTAGCTGAGTGGCTGCCTAGCTCGATGTTACGAAATAATTCATCTAGGCGCTGGCAATCTGTGAGATCGCTTTTCTTCAAGAGTGCGGCCTTGAGAAGTGCACAAGGATCACTTACTTCAGGATTAAACACGTATGCTGTAACGTACCTGTTTCATTCCTGCGGTAGTGACCGTATGACAGCAAGAAATCGAGAATGAGGATCTGAGATTCCCTGTTCCCGAAAATCTGCCGCGGCATACAGAAACCATGTTTCTGTATTGTCTGGCCAATACGGTGTAGGGATGCGTGTTACAATTCCGTAACGTTTGATCAACCCTACTTAATTTGATGTGCTCTAGTACCTGCTTAACCAGTACTTTACCTAACATGTAAGTACTGGTAACAAAACACAAATCAAAAGAACTGATACGCAATGTATTTAAAGGAGCTATGTATTTAAGGTAAATGTTATAATAATGAATGAGGGAAAAGTTTAATCAACTTATCTGGCTTGTAAGGCCGAACTAGGGACTCGGAGTACGTGCGTGGTGATCAGCACAATGGAGCGCAAAAATGGCGTCCAAGCCTGCTCGGATGCATGCTCGTTAAAACAAAACTTAAAACACCCTAAGCATCCGGAGGCAAGCTAGAGATTTATTTAGTTAATTTAATTTAAACTATTTATTTTAGCCCTAGTTATATTTCGGTGCCAGGAAGGTGCACTACAGGCACGAGTTGGATCGTGTTCGTAGTCGACTTAATACGAATAAGTTTGAGAGTGTGGTCGAGCATGAGAAAGTGTAGTAAATGCATATATAAATGTTATCGAAACGAAAACAATATACAAATATGAAATGGAACACGCTCACCAATTCAATACTTGTTATTGGCCGGGGTATATGATCACGTCGGGCTCACCAAGTTAGGATTTGTCCTGGTGCGAACTTGACAGACGCAAAGACCAACCACTAATTATTCGGACTTGTTATATACCCACGAATACGAGACCAAGGAAGAACACAATAGCGTAGTCGGATGGAATAGTACATTTGGATGGTTGTGCCAAAATACCCATGAGTTCCAACTAACTGGCTAGAGAGTCGAATACGAGCAGTGCAACGTAACACGACAGCTTGCCAAATGGGGAGGATGCTTGACCAGGTGC